AATTAGATGAGGAAGGAATCTTTCCCAACTAATTTTATGAAACAAGAGTTACCCCAGTACCAAAATCAAAATTATTACTAAAAGAAAACTAAGCCAATATCCCTTATGATCATAGACTGAAAAATCCTTAACAAAATATTAGCAAATCAAATATATAAAAAGGATAATAGATTGTAACCGGGGGAGTGGGGATGGTTATCACAGGAATGCAAAGTTGATTGAACATTAGAAAATCCATCAATATAATTCATCATATTTACATATGACAAAAGGAAAACTGTATGATCATCTCAATAGATACAGAAAAAGTGTTTGACAAAATTCAGTAATAATACAAACTCTCAGCAAATTAGAAATAGAAGGGAGCTTCCTCAATCTGCTAAAGGGCATCTATGACAAACCTAAGCTAACGTCGTACTTCATTGTAAAAGACTAAACACACTTTTCTTCTAAGATTTGGTATAAGATGAGGATGTCTGCTCTCGCTACTTCTATTTACAATTGTAGTAGAAGTCCTAGCAGGTTTGATAAGACAAGAAAAAAAGATAAAAGGTATATAGATTTGAAAGTAAATAGTAAAACTGTCTTTATTCATAAACAATATGGTCATGTATGTAAAAAGCCCAAAGGAAACTATTAAAAAAACTCACTACAACTAATAAACGATGTCTCCGGATACAAGGTCAATATACAAAAATTAAGTGTATTTCTATGTACTAGCAGTGAACAACTGGACAATGGAATAAAAACATACCATTTATAGTATCATCAAAAATCAGGAAGTTCTAGGGATAAACATAATACAATATGTGCAAGACTAGTACAGTGAACATTACAAAACATTGCTGAGAGAAATTCAAGAAGAATTAAATAAATAGAGAGATACAACATATATATCATGTTCATGAATTGGAAGACTCAATATTGTTAAGATGTCCATTCTCTCCAAATTGATCTATAGATTTAATATAATGCCATAGCAGGAAATTTTTTTTTTGGTAGAAACTGATAAGCTGATTCTAGAATTTATATGACAATACAAAGGACCTACAATGGCTAAAATAATTTTGAAAAAGAAGAAAAAAGTTGGAGAACTTAACCTGATTTCAAGACTTACTATAAAGCTACAATAATCAAGGAAGTGTAGCATTGGCATAAGGATAAATATATAGATAAATGGAACAGAATAGAGAATCTAGAAGTGGACCCACACTTATATAGTCAAGTGATATTTTTCAGTGGTGTCAAGATTATTCAGTGGGAGAAAGGATGGTGTTTTCAACAAATGACCTGGAAAAATTGGATATCCATATGAAGAACAATTAATGTTGACCCTTACCTCACAGTCATACAGAAAAATTAACTTAAGATGGATCACTAACTTAACTGCAACAATGAAAACTATTGAACTTCTAGAAGAAAACATAGAAAACCTTTGTAACCTTGGAGATAGGCAAAGATTTCTTAGGACACAAAAACCACTAATTACAAAAAAATTATAAATTGCATTTCATCAAAATTAATATCTTCTGTTTTTTGAAAGACACTAGTAAGAAAAAAATAAGATAAGCCACAGTTGGAAGAAAATGTTTACATGACGTATATCTGATAAAAGGTATGTATCCAAATAGATGAAGAACTCATTTAACACAATAATAGGATGATATACAGCCCAATAAAAAGTCAGCAAAAGCCACTTCAGACACTTCACAAAAGAAGATTTATGAATAGCCCATAGGCACATGAAAAGATGTTCAATATCAGTAGTCACCAGGGAAATGTAAATTAAAACCACAAGGAAATATCATTGATATCCACCAGAATGGCTAAAATAAAAAAAGAAAGACAAACAATACTAATAAGTTATGGAACAACTAGAGCTCACTTACGTGGCTGGTGGAAGCATAAAATGGTATAACCACTTGAAAAGTTCTTACAACTCAGTAATTCTACTCCTAGATACTTACTCAAGACTTATGAAAACATATGTCCATGCAAACACTTGTGCAAGAATGTTCAGAGCAGCCTTTTGTTTTCATAGCAACTTGTTCAAAATAGCCAAAAGCTGGAAACAGCCTAAATGTCCTTCGGTAGGTGACTGGGTAAACAAAATGTGGGATATCCATACACAAGACACTACTCCATAATGCAAAGAAGGGAACTATTGCTAGCTACAACAAAATGGATCAAACTCACAGAAATTATGTCGAGCAAAAGAAGATGGTCACAAAAAAGTACTTACTATATGATTCCATTTCTATGAGGTTCTAGAATACAGCAAAAATAAATCTATAATGATAGCAGATGAGTATTTACCTGAAGTTTGGGTCGGTGTGAGAGAACTGACTGCAGAAGGGCTAAGGGGAACTTTTTGGTGTGATGGTTATGTGACTGTATTATACATTTGTCCAAATCCTCAAATTGTACACTTAAAATGGATGTATTAATCATATGAACAGTATTCCTAAATGAAGTTGATTTTTTTAAAAAATGAAGTAGTTACTGATCCAGCACAAGAAGCTAAGCCTTCTCATTTCTGACACAGTATTTCTTCTTCTTCTTTTTTTCTTTTTTGCTTTTTCCTTTCCCACTGTCCCCCACAAGATAATGTTGGCTCCTTTCCTCTCCACACTTCCCACCTCCCGTGGAATCCAGTGATGGAATGTGGAAAGCAAGGCAGGAGTGAGTAATGGCTCCGAGATTCCAGGCTGGGTGACCAAGAGGATGGTTTGGGAGGAAGATGAACAGTTTGGCTTTAGACACACAGAGCCTTAGCTCAGCATTTTGGGCTTCCGGGTTGGGGTTGTTTAGTTTTGTTGAGACAGGATGAAGTCATCCCAGGAGAAGGGTACGGTTGGCCTTGGAGCAGGAGGAAGCGGAGCCACAAAAGAATCAGGGGAAAAGTCATCAGAGATGTGGAAAAAGTGAGAGAGGGAGGTTTAGTAGAACCATGGAGGTGAGGTGGTTCCCACAGAGAACAGGGTCAGAAGTGCTGAGGTGGGTGAAGACCTAATTGATCTCAGCAAAATGAGCATCAGCCCCACAGCTGGAAGTCAGCTTGAGAAGGAATCCCCTGCTCCTGCTTACAGCTCTGTGACTTTGGACAATTCATTTCACTTCACTCAAACCCAGTCTTTCAAGATGGGGACAAGTAATGTTTTTCACCTGAGATTCATTCTGAGCATCCAATAAGAAAATGTTTATAAAGAACTTAGCACAGGCCTGAATATACATTGGTTTCTAATGCTATTATCATTAACAGATTGTCATGTCATTGTTTTTTCTTAATAATATTAAGTATTCCCTATGTGTCTGGCATTGTGCTATCAGATTTGTACGGATTTGTCTCATTTAATGAGTGACTTCCCAAGGTGACATCATGTGCTGGGTTTGTAGGAACCCAAGCAGTAAGGCTCAGAGCCTGTGGTCTCCAATTCTGAAAGAGCGTTTTTCAAGAGGGAAAGGAGTGGCCCGCAAGGGGCTCAGGGAGTGAGAGGGAGGAAGGAGAACTGCGGCAGGTTGTAGAACATTCTTTCAGGAAATTCAGAGGGAGAGGCGAGAGAGAATTGAGTAGCTGAGTCAAAGTAGGATTCTGAGGAGAGACCTGAGCACTGAGCTTCTCTGGAGATTATTTGTCTCAGGCGATGAACAGGACTAAATCCCATTCAACAGCGTATGTTTATTGAGTGGTTGCTGTATGCTCTTAGAATTCCCCTTAATGTACATGGGGTAGGACACCGTCTCCAGGGGATTTGTGAGTCCAGTCTCACCTGCCTTGTTCTATAGCAGGCTGTTTGCCCAGGCAGTCCTGACTCCGGGATAGCAGACACTGGAATTCTCAAATGTCTGACAGTGCCATTTGCAACAATCCTTTTTATTACTCTAGTAACGTGTTCTGAGAAGATGGATGCGAAGGTCCAGCCTGACTCTATCTTGCCTCCTATTGCCACAATATTGACAACCACAGGCTGAAATGGGGAGGAAATGTACAGGAGATAATGCCAGGGACTGCCAGCCTCTCTCCCATACAAACCATTTAGTGGAACTCAAGCAATTTAACAGACTGCAGGAAATGATCCCTGAATAACCGGTTCCCATTTCCCACCGTGATTACGGAGGAGAGGAAGGGGAGACGTCATTTTGTATAACTCCAGGATGGCTCACACAGAGTCTCATGCAGCGAGTTTGCATCTGGCCTCAGGATTTGCAGTGGTAACAAAGATAACTCCTGCGTGGAGGCAGGAGGCTAGCAGTGGAAGTGCTGCTTCCGCTGACTGCACAGAAAGCAAGAAACCCCATGAATGAAGTGTGACGGGGGAAATAACGGTTTAATGACATAGGATATAAAGCTGGTGGATTGTGAGGGGAGGAAGTATAATTTATAAGAGGTGAAACTTTTATCCCCATAAAGGGCCAGATGGAGCCTACCATAAATCTAAATTCCCCTGAAATAGCTATGGTTGTATTGACAACGCATTAAAAGATAGATGTATCTTTTCTTCTTTCTCCACTAATCCCTCCAGGATGGTACTGAGTAGTTAAGATTTTTTTCCAAAATGTATGAAATGAACTTCATAGGCACTTGCATTTCATTTCAATTTTCTTTCTTGGGATTTCCATTTTTATTTTAGAAAGGGAGTCTTTCATTGAAAACATTGAGGTGAGCTTAAAATCATTCAGAAAAATGAAAGTTGCTTGGCATGTTATTGGCTGAGTTTTAAAAATTACCTTTTCTACAGATTTGTTTGTGTAATTTGATGATTTTCTTAAATTCCCACTCATTTAATGATTGGATGAAACCTGAGGTACCCTAATTCTGTTTTGGGATTTTTTTTAATGTCTCAAGTATGCTGTCAGGTTTATAAATAGAGTTTTTCAAGAATATAAACTATTATGAAATTATTTTAAAATTGTTTTCTTGTATATGATCTAACCTTATGAGTTTATTTTTTGTTTAATCCACTGTGTTGTCTTTTTTTTTTTCTTTTAATTTAATCCAGAAGTAAACAAAAAGAAATATTACAAGTTCAGCAAAGAGAAGACATTAAAGTGGCTGGAAAAAAAGGTATAGTACCTCTCCAGTGCCTTGTGCCAGAGAAAAATTTAATGCTTCTTTTTAAAAATCTTTAGAGAATGTGGTCAGTCTGAATCCAAGGACCGTTTTGCATATCCACCTAAAAGAGGAAAACGGTATAAGGATATCCAAGTATGAGAAGAAATCTTTTTTCTTCATCCTCCCTAACTTATGTATCTCTGGAGGTAGCTTGGTGTTTTCCTTTAACTGCATCCCCAGTTCTCCATGATCCTCGCCACCAAATAGAAGAAGTCCTTGCTATTTGTTGGTGTAGATTTGAGTCTTCCAAGCCAGACAATTCCAGGCCTGATGTGCATTTGCTGCTGTCAGTCCTGCAGCCAGAGGTTGATATTGTTCACACATGGCCGGGAATGGGACTGAGGCAGACGGGATTCAGGCTTAAAGGAAGTGTGTGTCTGGATGCCAGGGAGGGGTCATCTTCCAGGCAAACCCTGTATCGTAGTGATCCTAAGAATTAGACCTAATACAAAGTCTAGGGCAGTGTTTTTCAAATCAGTTTAGTAAGTCACGACCAGTATTTCTCTTGGAACAGAATGAGATGGGTTGGGATAGGATAGAATGTATTAAAATATAGCATAGAGTAAGGTCAAGTATTAAGTATGGCTCTATGAAACATATATTTATGTATGTGTTTGAGTATTGGATTGCTGAGTATTTCTTACTGTGAGTTGCAGTAAAAACAAAACACTTTGAAAGCCGCTGGTCTAAGGGTATTGTACTTTCACATTGATTAAGAATCTCACCAGACCAGATATTGATGACAAAGTTTTTGCAAGTTCAGTGGATACTAGTAGTTATAGTACTGATTCCTAAGATTCTCTTCTCCCTTGTATGTGAAAAACACGTTTATTTGTCATATCGTGTTCCTGGGCACACTGGAAGCCTGGGAATGTGGAAATGTAGAGTTAATCAGGCTCCTACTGTACAAAGTAGTGAGAAGATTTTAAAAGTGCCTCCACGTTTCACTTTTCACGTGCATTCATTGTGGTATTTTCACTAGTAGGAATACCCTATGTAGGTGGGGGAGTGTAAGTGCTGAGCAGAATCTTGGCGTTTACTTTTTGCTCCTAGCAAATGATAATGGCATGAATAGAAAAGTGAAGTTTATATCTAATGATTGTGTTTCCTTTCTTAAATTCCTAGAAAGTGGGAAATGTATATTATTTAATATTATTTATTCTTTTTAGAAATTATTACATATAAACTTTGCGCCAGGTTCTGTTCTAAGGGCTTTACGTGTATTAGCTAAATTAATTCTCAAAACAATCCTGTGAGGTAGGTACTATTTTTATCCCCAATTCACAGATAGAGGCACAGAGAGGTTAAATAACTAGCCCATGGTCACAGAGCAAACCCAAGCAGCCTGCCTCCAGAGTCAGTGCTCTCAATCACCACAATATGCTGCCTCTCATATTGTGTAGGCCTTAGGAAGTCCATGTATTGAGACCATCTCGAAATGCTGTTGCTGCTGCTCAACCTTTCTCCAAATGTGCAGCCATCTCTCATCTTCTAATACCTGGTAAAGATGTTTCTAGATTCTCAAATACTTCTCCCTTAAATAGATTGAGGACCATCTAGAAAGTTGTGGATTTCTAAAGTTAGTTGAAAATACCCTGATATGCCCCTCTTGGTTTCTTCATAGGTTAATCAGACTATGGCAGCATTAAAAACCAATAATGTGAATGTTGGTGCCCGAGTACAGTCAACTGCATTTTTCTCTGGTGACCAAGTTTCCAGTGACAAGGAAGGTAACTAAATTGTTTCATTAGAAATGATTTTTTTGTGGAGTAAGTTGCTTCTGTATAAATGCCTATCTTACGATTTTAAAATCTTAATGTCTCAGAAGCTTTCCATTCTTGCCAATGTGTTCTCATAGATCTTGTGGCAGGTGTGCATTTTATTCAAAACCAAGTAATATTTCTACATAGATTGCTTCTTTCTGTAATTGATACTTATTCATTCAGCAAATATTTATTTTGCACTAATAGTAATAACAACTCTATCATTTATTGAGGGTGTGTTATGTGCCAAGCCTTTTACTAAGCTGCCAGTGTACATGTTATCTCGTCTGACCCTCCCTGTAAGTCTCATTTTACAATGAGAGCCTGAGGCTGTGTCGGAACTCACACAGCTGGTAAACAGTAAAGCTGAGCTGCTAATGGCGCTGATCTGATTCTTAAGCCCACACTCTTAACGTTTCTGTTGTGCTGTTCGCGGGGCGCGGGGTTCCCAATGAGCTGCATCTGTTTGCATCTTACTCTCAAGAAGCATGTGTCCTAGAGGTCTCAATATTTTGATTTTAGATGAACATTGATTCACTTGGCAATTTTTTTCTTTTAGGTTACTATGGTACATTCTTTCACTTTTTCTAGTGTAGTGTCCTCTTATTTTTATCTGTATAGTTGAATAAAAACAGCTATATAATGCAATTAACATTCTCAAATGGTGGGACAGAAATTTTTTTGACTTCAAGCTCCAATTCAGTGTTTCTCTGTTTTAGGTGTAAACTCTGAAACATCTGAGTTTTGTAATTAAAAAAATAAAAACTAGAAACCGTGGCCTGTTTGCGATGGATGGTAATTCAGGCAGTCTCTGATTTGCAGAGATCTACCTCAAAATACCTTACACATACAGATGATAGCTGACTCCTGCCATTCTGGGAGTGGTGGACAATGACCTTGCCATACTGACTTTACTAGCTGTCGTTGTCTTTGATTGGCTTTAACAAAAGAAGAGAAGGGATCGAGTCAAATGGATGGGTGGATGGGTGGATGGATGGATGGATGGGTGGATGGGTGGATGGATGGATGGATGGATGGATGGATAAAACTATCGATTTCTTTTAAAGTAGGAGAAGGGATGTTAGAGATTATTTAGATAGATCTTCTCATTTTAGAAATGTAAGACCATGGTCTCAGAGAAGTAAGTGACTTATCCAAAGTCACTCTTCCTCGCTGGTAGGCCAGGTCTTCTGCTCTGAATCCAGTGTTTTTACCAATCTCTGACTATAAGAGTCTAGGCTTGGCCATATTGCCATTTAGGGTCCCAACCATAATGTGAGCTTTACACTCTTTTCACTATTTCCTTTTTTTAGATCTTTAGCTTGGTATGCTACCGGAAGAAGCAAAGAAACGATATGTTGGCTTTCTTAAAATAGTTTTCTTTTTCTATTCATGACTCATTGGATATTTACTAACCCAGAATCATGAGCAGTTTTTAAGAAGGGTCCAGTGGTAACTTTCAGTTCTATGTTGGCAGTGAAAATCTCTTACTGAAGACTTTGTGAGTTTAGGTGGTTCAGGCAGCAGTCTCTTTCTAACTAATCCTGAGGCAAAATTGTTATCTTAACTTGAAGACAGAAGAGAAAGAAGCGAATGAATATCCCAGCAACAAACCTGGAATATTGCTTTGGGTAGTTTATATCCCCATGTGATTATCCTGTCTTATGATTAAGTTTGATTATCCCCTAGTATTCTACATAAAATACTGAAATAAGGAACAGGGCTTTAAAACAGATTTTATTGTCTTATGTAACTGTATTTAATTGATACCAGAGCTTCATTTTAGTACTGAGGATCCAGATGCTTTAGAATTAATGATTATACATTCTGCTGAGTTTAGTTTTTTTACATTTTTTAAGGCATTTTATTAGTTTGGGAGTATATATAATGTTCAGGACTCTTATAAAGCAAGTACTTAATAGAGACATATCACATATTATTTCTCTTAAATAAGCATACTCATTACTGTTCAATCATTAGATTGATTCTATATTGAAACAGATCTAGAAAAGGTTAGCCTTTTAAAAAGCACAAATATTTCATATTGTTACAGCTGATTTTTGAAGTTCACTCGTATTCAAGGGCCTCAACTCAGAAAACCCTGAGTTTGTGTTTTAATTATCATTTAGTGAGCATCTACCTTGTTGTATTTGTATTATCTCATATCTTTGATATCATCCTATTTTATATCTCATCCATCACATCACCCCACTACTCTGACAGATAGATATTAGCATCCCCATTTTACAAATGAGGAAACCGAGGCTAAGAGCTTAAGTGAGTCTCTAAGGCCAGATAGAGACAGAATTTGACCTCCGATCAATTTGACTGTAAAACTACCATAATTATTACTATTTTTTTCTTTCACTTTCCATTTTATTTCTTTCAGAGGATTATATTCGTTATGCCCATGGTCTGATATCTGATTACATCTCTAAAGAATTAAGTGATGACTTATCTAAATATTTAAAGTAAGTATTGTTCATCTTTAGTAATAATTAAGAAGTAGCTTTGTGTTTCTTGGTTTTCCAGCAATAGGGTTTCTTTATGGCTTATCATATCACTGTTTCTGATAAGAGATTGTTCTTGAGTTATGTCATAGACTCTATGGTTTGGAGATGATTTTTAATGGATATTGATTAATTGCAACAAATTGATTTAGTGGATATTGATTGGAAGAACTCATGAGTGTTAGGATTGGAATTATGGGTTGGTGTGGTTTTAGCGAGTAAACTGTGTTAAAATGTTATCCCCAGTTAAACTTAACTAATTTGGTTCTTTGTGATCATTCTAAGAGAAATAAAAGTGGGAAGGAAAGAGTAGATGGCATCTAGAATGTTTTTGAAAGTTACATTTAAAGGTTTTGTACCATTTTCACTGTCATTAGATGTTCACTAGATACCTTGATTATGCCCAGCCCTTGGAACTCATAGAAGGATGAAACGCGGTCTGTATCTTTGAGGGCAGAAGAAGGTTTAAGAATGACTTCATTTGTGTTCCTTCCTTTATAAAGATCTTTAATATAATATAAAGACTTTGCCTTAGGCTGAAAAAAAATGTGTTTATTTTCTAGATTTTAGCCACTGTTGTTAAGATTTTATGTGTGTGATGATCTAATAGCTTTTCCTGATCTTATAAATCCTTTTTATCTTCTGATCCATAAAGATAAAATGACTTTTTAATAGATATAGTTGCTGTGTTTAGCAAATTGCGTAGGTTCTAGTTTAAAAAACAATTAGTGGAAACTGGTTTCTATAGTAGTTAAAGTGTGTTGAAAGCCTTCTTTAAATTGATAATCATACCTTTTGGTTAATATTTCCCTGGATTTCTTAATAGCTGCTTGTCTTGTTAGGGACCTTATGTGTTTATACTCCGTTATTTTTTTAGATTCTTTTCTCTCCACTGAAGTTTTTAAGTTTTGGTTAAAGATTTGGGGATGTCAATTAGACTTCTCTTTAAGGGAAGAAAAGGTAAAGTTTGTGTGGCTTTTTGTCAACAGTTAAAATAATTTTCACTTTTAAATATATGATAGATTCATCATTTATGAAGGAAAAAAATACAACACCAAAATGCAAATTTATAGAGGCTAAAGAAAAGCAATTCCATTTCAACAAATGAGTTCTAATTTTATTTCTTTTTTTGTGTGTGTGAGGAAGATCGGCCCTGAGCTAACATCTGCCAATCCTCCTCTTTTTGCTGAGGAAGACTGGCCCTGGGCTAACATCCATGCCCATCTTCCTCCACTTTATATGGGACGCCGCCACAGCGTGTCTTGACAAGCGGTGCATCGGGCCGCGCCCGGGATCCGAACCGGCAAACCCCCGGGCCGCTGCAGCGGAGCGCACGCACTTAACGGCTTGCGCCACCTGGCCAGCCCCTAGTTTTATTTCTTAGTTCAGACGATTCCAATACAAGGAATTAAGTAGAGAAATGAAGATTTATTCATTTAGAGAGATTTCACCCTTTACGCTGAGGTGATTGTACGGTAAGATGTGGAGGTGAAGCTGTCGGATGACAGCAGGACTTACCAGGTCGTAGGTTGGCTCAGTCTTTCTGTTTGCTTGTCTGTGAAAAACCATGACTATGATTCTTACTTTTTGCTTCCTTAGGCTTCCAGAACCTTCAGCTTCATTGCCAAACCCTCCATCAAAGGTAAGAAGCTGTGACTAAGATATCTTTGGGGCACTTGGAAAAATATTACACTTTTACCACATAAGTTTAGTTTGTTCTAGTATATTTTAAATCATACTAAATCCACCTTGCCTGGAGTGATGTTATGTGGAATAAAGACTGTACTGAGCTCTCCATCAATATTTTTTTATTTTTGTAGATTTTACCTGAATGATAAATAAAGTGCTGTGAAAAACAAATGAGTTGGTTTTAGTCAGATACCTATGTGAAAACATTATAGATATATAATTAAAATTAAATCTTCTTGAGTTAGCCAGATCCTGTAATTAACTTTATAAATCACGAGGAATACTCTGTGTATAACTAAAACTCATTTCAGATCTATTCGTCACTGGCATAAAAATCCAGAGCATGATTTTTGTAGCACAAAGAATCCTTTGAGCAAGGATGACCACACTTTTTTTTTTTCTGTGCTTGAAATGATCAACACCATTTGTGTGTAGTCTTGATCTGTTAGTGGAAAACCTCTTCCTCTTCCAGATGTTCTCAGACTGCCACCCACAGCTCCTCTGTACCATGGGCTGCAGCTCGTGTTTGTCTCCCAGATCTGGAGAGTAGAGAAGCCAGTCATAAACCACACCTGATGGCACACGTAGCAGCCCTCGGCCCAGGCCTGATCTCAGACAAGTGAGCGCTGCTCAGAGACAGGGAAATAAACACACACACCAGCTTGTCAGCGAGGTCATTCTCCAGCCAGCAAAATAAGGGATGCCTTGACAATGTAAAGTGGACACGTCGTGGATGTTGAACAACTTTCCTTTTCCCCTGCCTTCCAGGTGGCCAGCATGCTCAGGATTTTTTTGTATCAGTCCTGTTTGGAGGTGGCAGTGGCTCCAAAAACATTCATTACTTTGACTTTTAGAAAAGGGCAGAAAATTTAAAGTGCATCAGTGTTAGTTGTGGGCCATTTTCAGCAGATTGTCAAAGGAGGTTCATCTTTTACTCTCTGGAGGAACAGCGCTGGGCAGAAGTCAGCTGCTGTAGGATCTGAGGTCCTTCTAGGTCAGACCACTTCTTCCAGTCCGGTAGTTAATCTCTGACAGTAGCACTAGGGGCCGTGGACATCATTGTCTTGCTACAACTAAGAGAATAGGCACATTTGTTTCTTATTTCTCTCCCTCCAAAAACTAAGCATGTTTCTTTCTCCCAAATATCTGTCTTCCTTAACAACTTGGAGATCATTCATGAATGGATCTAAACCTATTCTTGAAGGTTCTAGTTTTTGATTCTGTGTGGGGTAAAGCATTTCATAAGTTTATTCTTCTCTGACTCAGCCTTCTGTTTTTTTCTTTTTAATTCCCAAAACTTAAGTCGTTTGTGATTTCATCATTTATGATTTAGATCAGGAGTCTGCAGACTTTTTCTGTGAAGGCCAGATAGTAAATATTTTAGGCCTCATGATGCAGATGGTCTCTGTCACAACTACTCAGCTCTGCTGTTGTAGTGCAAAGACAGCCACAGACAATTCATAAACGAATCAGCACGGCTGTGTTCCAGGAAAACTTCATTTATAAAAACAGACGGCCGGCTGGATGTGACCCGTGAGCAGTAGTTTGCCAAGCCCTGATTTAGGTCTCGGAGTCTTGTTTCCCCTAAATCTCAGCCTCATCTCCTGGATTATTTTAGTTGCTTTTCGAGGTCTTCTCCTCTGTTGTGTCTCTGGGGCTCTGGTGTAGACATTGCAAACTGCGCTGGATGATGTACTGTAGTTTAAACAAGCATAGGATAATGTCTTCTGCTGGCTTTCCTGTCTGTGTCCAGGATTTGATAGATTTTTACAGTAATATAGTTGACTGTTTTCAGGAAATATGTTCCAGTGGCCATTAGGTATCTTTGTATCTGGGTTGTAATCGATAGCATGGAGCCTGTCATCCTTAATATGTTTTGTATTATTTTCTTACTCTCATGGGTTTGCCTATGTTGAAGCTCAGCTTCCAACCCTCACCCTCTTCAGCCTTTTGAATGTATCACTGTCGGCCAGCAGAGCCGAATGCGATCAGTGGATTTGGAGATGTTCTTGAGTTCCTTCTTACAAATTATTTGTAAGAATGATGAGACCAGTCCTAGCATTAATTCCTGTGGTATTTTGCTGTTTGCTCTTCTTTTTCCAGAACCGTACCTGTTTAACCATACCCTTTGTTACTGTCTTTGAGAGCCACTTTTCTATTTCTTCTGAAACATTGCCCCAAATCCGTAGTTATTCAGTCTTTTAAATAACAAAAATTTAAGTAAATGTAACAATCGTGTTTCTTCCAACATATTCAACAGTGTGCTGGGAACAAGATAAAAACTAGTCATGTAGAGAGGCTACCACAATCATTTTCTTTTTATAAGCACTTATAACAGGAGTCTTGTTTGATAGTGAGCCATTGAAACACTTGAACAAGTCAGTCATTTTATTAAATGTTTCGTATTTATAAGGAAGCACCTTCATCTTAAGCTCTTGCCATGAACATTTTTTATTCAATGTATCAGTGAAGAGTGAATATGTCTAAGTGTTTATCATGACATCTGTATTAGAAATATTTTGCCACAGAGAGGGAAAGCAAACATCCTCATAACTTTAAGCTTTTTACAATTTGAAACTATTACAGCTTTCATCATTATTACCTGTGAGTTCTGCTCTTGAAGGTACTTTTCTAGTAAAATATGCATCATCTAAACACCCTTTGCTGTCTTAATTTAAGTAGAAACATGTATTCCTAAGAAAGTCACTTGTATCCATACATTCACTTTGCTGGTAGGTAGTTCATACACGATAAACTAGTCTTTTGAAGATTCCTTGCTGAGGTCACTGTGTGGCCAAGAGAAGGTTTTGCCACATTATGTGATGTATTCCGGGGATGCCCTTCTGTCTTTTACAGTGAAGAATTTCAAGCCATGTTTTATCCTCTTGTGTTATACAGTGCTGTGGCATCTTTAGCACCAACTCTACCAGTTCTTTGTTTAGCAAAAGCTGCAATGTGAGAATGAAGCTAGGAACAACTCTGTATTTCTTAGGGTAGATCCATGTGGGGTCTTGTCAGCCTGGTGTCTCCACAAAGAGCTTGAAGGTCTGTAAAAATCTGAGTGTGATAACCGAGCAGTCAATTCTCAGTGTTAAACGTTAAGACTTATCTGCCCTGCTATGTGCCTTTTTACATAATAAGCGTGTCACGATTCCTTCTATAGTGTGAACATTAAGGCCACAGCCTAGCTCTTTGCAAGATTCTCACATTCATTGGTGCAAAATGCTCATGTGAAAGGTGAAAACATGAAGTAAATGTTGACTTGGTTGCATTGGCCCTAATGGAAAGAACGCTTGCACAAAAATCGAAATCTCACCCCAAGTCCTGTACGAGGTAGCCTTAAGCTATTTATTTAACTTCTGTGTGCCTCCTTCTCCTGCTGGCTTCTTGCTTTGCAAGGTTGTTCTTGTGTGGATAAAATTAGATAATTGAATTGAAAGGAGGTAAGAACATGAAGCTATACAAAGATGGTAATAATAGAATAATGCTGTCCCTGTATGCCTGAATGTCCTGAGCTGACATTACATTAGCCCAGGAGGTGAATGAAGTGGGGATTCTGGCTGGACACCTGGTCCCCTTAAAGGAAATTCTTGTCTTTGACTTCCGTGCCTGCATTCACCCCCTTAGACTGTCCTGGAAGTCAGCAGGCACCTAGATGCCCCTCATCCCTAGTACGTACAAAGTATGTGGTCAGTACTGCTGGACTGCCTAAGGGTCTGGGTCATGGACTTGCCTAACTGTATCCTGCCACCACCATGGCTGCTTCTCAGAAGGGATGTGTGGCTTAGTTCCCTAGCTAATTGGCAAAATGTGAAGACGCTTGTGAAAAGTAAGCCCTTTGCAGGATCTGCTGCTCCATTTAGCCTCAATGTGGTGGGTCCAAATTGCACATGTTGGTTTTTTTTAAATGGATTCGTGAAAGTCTCAAGGTGACATTTGACACCACTTCACTGCTCTAACATTGCAGAAAGTAAAGTTATCAGATGAGCCTGTAGAAGCAAAAGAAGATTACACTAAGTTTAACACTAAAGGTTTGAAGACTGAAAAGGTATGTGTGTCCAGGTGTGGTGGCATACCCTTGGATTCAGTGTGTGATGCCGCATGAGGATATCCAGGAACGATTGCATGCTTGATTGTGATTTTACAGTTTTAACCATGCATAATTATTAACTTGTGTTTCTGTGACTTATTATAATAATTAATTTAAAATTGTGAATGAGGATGAAATATCAAGCAAGGAAGACTTTTTATCAAGAGTGTGCCTAAACTTTGCTATGTGTTCAGAATGATAAGCTGGGGCAGAGGGAGGGAGCCTCTGTAGGTCATTTTTTGTCAACTCTACTCCCAGAAGCTTCCCAGAAATTATGACGATGACAAAAATCATTAATAACCCCACCATTCATCAATCACCCCAGCATATGTTTTCATAACATTTCTTACTAAATTTTATCTTATACATGCGTTATAAATACATATGTACCTTTTAAAATTGGCATTGTGATGTATATATAGTTTTGGTTCTGCCCTTTTCATTTAGCGCTATATTGTGAAAATGTTCACACGTCATTAAGCATTCTTTGAAAAATTATTGATGATTTCATGATATTCAATTGTGTGTTTTTTATTTCACCACATGGAATATAATTTATTTAATCAATCCCCTATTTTTGGACACATAGATTGCTTCTGCTTTTTTTATTTTTTGTTTTAATGAAGCGATAAACATTCATATTTATATTCTGCATCTCTGATTATTTCATTAGGCACAATTTAGAACTAAAAATAAGGGCTTAGAAAACATGAGCTTTTTCCATGATTATTGAGATATATATATATACAGCTAAAATGCTTTCCAAAGATGTAGTATAAATTTATACTCCCTGGGCCAGCCCCGTGGCTTAGCGGTTAAGTGCGCATGCTCCACTACTGGCGGCCCGGGTTCGGATCCCGGGC